CCCCTGGAAGGGCTGAGGAGCTGCTCTTGGCTCAGTCTGGAGGCAGCCAGAGACTGAATTGAGGGCAGCCCCCTGGGGTTTGTTCCACGGAGCCCGAGCGCGTTCCCTCTTCTCGTTACTGCACATCGAGCGCCTGATGAGAGAGGGATTTGGGGACGAGACAATGAGGAGATATCGAGCACGGGATGATTAGCCAGAATGCTTTGTTAATAAGCTGCTTATTCGTATAATTGGGAACGATTTGCAGCCAGGGGTGTCAGCGGAGTCTGGGTGTGCTGCTCTGGTGGAGCGGGGCAGGTGCCACCCCTGAGGATGCTGAGCTGGCACAGGAGCTCCCTGCTCTGCTCTCTGTGCCTTCAAGGGCAGGGAAGGACAYGGGGAGGGGACAGAGAGGCACAGCYRGGTCCTGCTGGTGAGGGACAATTCCCAGATTGGAGAGGGAGTGAGGGATGGGCCCTCTCCAGCCCATCCTCACAACACCCAGAGGGAGGAACGCCAGGGAGGSTTGGTCTCGATGGAGAGGAGAGCTGGCGCTGCTCCTGCTTCCCAAAGCAGCTTTTTGGGACAGAGCCAGGTGTGGAACAGCGTGGGGCAGTCTGTCACCAAAGCTGTCACCAAAGGTGGGGCTGGGATGGACATGGCAGGACTGACCTGGAGGGTTCCACAGGYGGCTCTGAGCTTGGAGAGAGCTGGTTTTGTGTGGATTTCCAGGAGGATGAGGGAAAGGAGGGGAAAGCTACAGGAGCCATTCCTCACTCCCTCCACTAGCCCTGGTTGTGCCCAGACCTGCAGAGCATGTGGGGGCAGAACAGGGAAGTGGATGTGACACCAAAACCTGGGACAATTCTCTCCTAACCAGCCAGGGAGGAAGAGGAGCCAGGTGGGTGGACAGGGGGACAGGAAGGGTGACAGACAAAATGCCACCAGCCAGGCAAGAGCAGCAGCAGCAGCAGCAGCCTGTGGCCATGCTCTGGGTTCAGCCACTTCCCCAAAAACCCCTGACATTATCTTCATATCAATGTTGTAACAAAATATGCCACTGCACGGACCTGCTGGGAGGCGTTTCCGCTTGAGGCAAGAGCTTGCCACTTCCCCCAGCTGTGTCACCGCGAGGCAGGAAGGGTCACAGGGCACCCAGACTGGCACAGGACACACTGGGAAGCCCCCAGCAATGCCATTTCCCCGGGCCTGAGCGCGGCCATGGAGCTCAGAGCTCTTTTCCTGCTGCCACTCTGCTTCCCAGGTAAGAGAAAGGTCCCATTCCCAGGGAACAGAGCACCCTTCTGCATTTCCTGCAGCCTGGGGAGCTCCCCTGGAACCATCCGGGCTCAGATCTGRGCAGCTGCTGCAGGGCTGGGAGGGAAAGGGCAGCTCCAATCCTCACCACACCCCTCTGGCTCCTCCAGGCTGCTGGGATGATCCGCCCTGRGAGCACAGAGCCTCTCCCAGTCAGCCTTTCCCACCACGCTGGCACTGCTCGGCTCCTCTGATGGCATTCTGGGCCAGGACAGCGTCCAGGGGCACCAGCTGCCCTCTGCCAGCCCTGCAGAGAGCCCCCAGCACGTGGTGGGCATCATCCACCAGCTCCCAGCACAGCCAGGAGGGGCTGGCATTGCCAGGGATGTGGCACAGAGGGGCTGCAGGCTGCACACACTGCCCCAGCCCCTTCCCTCTGCCCCATCCCACCACCCCAAACAAACTCCTGGGACAGTCCCAGGGYGCTCTGTGGGGTGGAGATGATCCCCATTTGCCTTCAGAGAGGAGCAGTGGCAAACTCCAGACACTGCACCACTCATGGCTTGAAGRTCCAACACCTCCAGAGCCCTCTGCTTGTCTGTGGCTTTGAAACCACAGCTGCTGAAACCTCAACAC